TAGATTTTACTTTTTTTAGGCAAATCTTATATGTTACTTTTGGGAGCTCTTTTATACAGCCTTTAAGTTGTGTATATGGGGGCTGTGCTTGAAGGCATTCAGAATGGGCTGGCAAGTGCTAATGACCCGTTAATTCGTATTGGTATATTTTTATGTTATGCAACTATTTATATTTCAATAATATAAATAGATGCTATTCAAATTTGCTTCCATCGCAACTGAGATTTGCTTCAATTCAGAAGGAAATTGTTTCCAAATAGTTTTGTTTTAACGCGTCAAACCGTGCTTCCATATCGATTATAGATTTTGATTCCACGGTGAATGGAATTTGCTTGAATGTATACACAGAAATTAAATTTGAATGGTTGAAGCAGAATGCACTAACATATTGTTGAAAGCATAAGTTATTACAGTGTGCTAGAAGCATTTTTTTTCCTGCGGGAAAGAAGCTTTATCCAATTGTATACAAAGCACAATGCACTAAATCTTAGAAGCATGTTTAGTTGTAACCAAAACTTCATGTTCGTAGGGACCATACAGGTCTAGCGAACATGCATCATTTGATTTTCATGTGACTGAAGCTTTACTTTGTGATCCCGCAAAAAAAACTTTACTTTTGTGTGTAGAAAGCAAACTAGAGCCTAGTTGGATTCAAAATTGATAAACAATCGTAATATATTCCATGTGCGACAATGGCGAGCCCATGGGTTGAGGTTGCTAGAGCATGTCGCTAAGGCAACTTAAATTAATTTGCTTCTAACCTAACATAAATTTGTTTCCGCGATCCATTCAAATAACATATTTGCCAATAGTACAATGCTTCCTAAGTTCGTATTGTATGTTTCCTAAATACTAGGGACCCGCTTCCCTTTATTAGCCTGTGGTTATCTTCATCGTGAGATACATCCAAGTGCTTGCACTGGTCGCCTTCATATATATCTATCTTGTCGACACCTACACTACAAAAAAAGACACATCCGTGATAATTTTGGGCCGAGCGATTTTTTTTCTGTCATACATATGATACTTTTATAACGATAATTGTGACAAAACCCGGTATCATCATAGATGTGGTGGGCTCCTACTTCTATGACAAAAAATCATGACAGAAAATGGGCTTTTCGTCCTGGGCGGGACGGAGACGCAGCTGCATGACATTCTTTGGACCGTCCATGACGGAAAAAAACATGGTAGAAGCGAGGGCGAGAAAAATTTCTGGGAGTTCCCGGTTACGGTGGGAGGTCGGGGGCCGAGCGATGCGCGTTTCTCTCGTACAAGTACGTGCGTGTGTGTGAGGCGTTGGCTCTAACTGAGCCTGAGCAAGGCATTGGTCTCTAACTGAAACCGAGCGATTGCACTGCAGACTACGCGTTACTGAATCCGAGCGATCGATCGTTGGCTGTTAACTGAATCCGATCGAGCGATTCTTTCGTTACTACTGCTAACTGAAGCCGATCGATTCATTTTCGTTTTAAATCCATGAATATTTTTTTTAGAAAAATCATCAGCATATTTTAAAACTCATGATTCTTTTTAAAATTCTGAAAGTAATATCAGATTTCCAAACTTTTTAAAGTTCGTGATCATTTTTTAAATCCTTCAACATTTTTAAATGTGTCAACTTACTTTATAAAATTCACATTTTTTTCTCAAATTCATCAACTTTTTGCAAATTCATTTTCCAAAATTTTTAATGCTTTTAAATTAAAGGACAGTTTTGAAAATAAAAAATTACATTCATAAACTTTTCCAAATTCGAGAACATTTTAGTAACTTGCAAACATTTTGTATTTCAATTTTGTTTTCAGATTTTTGAATACCGGTAATGCTAGTAAATCGGTTTTCTCGTAAAACTAGCAGAGCAGCAACAGCTGCTAGCGTGTGCCTCCTCACCGAACGAGCCGAGGGAAACACGGCCCGCTACCTGCTGAAGACGAAGGAGGAGGTTCCCTGTGGCTACAAGCCCGTTTAGCCCAAGTTTACAAAGGATGCCTCAAGTTGCACCCATAACATGTAGTATGGATAAATCTCAAAAGAATATTAACATGCATTATAGATACTACAATTCATTCATAAATAACATGTAAATATTTAAATAAAATTGAACAATTAATTCATCAGTACCGTGCAAATATTTTAAATAAAATAGAACAAATAATTAATAAATAGTGTGCAAATAATTAAATAAAATAGAATAAAATGGCATGTAAACAATTATATAAAATAGCATCATGAATCCATAAATAGCATGTAAATAATTATATAAAATAGAACAATTAATTCATAAATAGCATGCTAATATTCTAGCACAACAATTGTTCAAATATAAATATTACATCTGAAAAAAAAACCGATGTTCAAAAAGTTGTCGGGCAAGTGTTGTTCATCCACAC